TGACTGCCCAGATTTGGGTCTGACTGCCCAGATTTGGGTCTGACTGCACAGATTTGTGCCTCTGAGCAGCGTGGCAGCCTTGGGAAGCTCCCAGTGCTGCAGCTGAGTGCTGCAATGCAGCAAGGAGCCTGACAGCTCCCAGCCTGCAGGACAGCAGGGTGGGGGACCAGCACATCTCCAAGGGACAGTATTCCCAGTACTTGTGTGCTCACCCCTTGGGAAATGGCTTGGATGCAGCTTAACAGAAAATCTCAAATCTGCTGTAGTGAATGTAATGCTCCAGCAAACCAAGCTGTGTCACACGTGTTTGTGTTGGCCTTTTTGTTTAAATGGTGTGGCAAAAGTCCAGGAGGTTGTTTCATTAGGATTTTACCTCTGAGTCCAGAGATACAGAGAGGGACATTTAGTGAGGGTTTGCTGCTCAGGTCATGAGTAGTTTTGCTGCTGCTTTTCTTTTTGTTCCAGCTTGTTCTGTGTATTTGCCTTTACACACACAGTGTTTGTAGTGGCAGGTGGCTCTGAAACCACAGGGAAGGAAGAGGTTTGGGCAGGCAGTGCTGACACAACCACTAGCAATATTCATTTTATCTGTAAATATTCTGGTTGTGCAAACTTTTCTCTTGTTGTGTGTGGTATCAATATAGAACCATCCTCTGCCTATGCACAGATGGAATAGCAGCTGTTTGGGGTCAGCAGTCATGTTTCACTGGAGTATTTTCCATCTTAGATCCTTGAAAGGGCTGCTAACCTTATACTGCAGCTGCTTTTCTGGGGCAGCAAGAAGAATATTTAAAATACATGTGAGCAGTGTAAAAGAAATGACCACCCTCTCCCTGGTTTGTAACCAATTACAAGCTTGCTACAAATTCTACCAGTTGTCTTTGAAGAATTGCCATGGTTTTAGGAACAGGATCCTGTAGAATTCATTAAAATGAAAAATTCAGTGTTTCAATTTGGCAATATCTACTTTAAGCCCCTATTTCTCCTTTTGCATCCAAGCCCCCTCATCTTTTCAGATAAGCTTCCCTGCTCAGGGTTCAGAGGCTTCCTTGAGGCCTTTCTCTTCCACTCAGGTTTGGAAAAGCTCCAGACTTACATGAGGAACACTCCAGTGCTGCCTCCTGTTCCTCAGTGGACTCTCCAGCTCAGCACAGTGAGCTGGGCTGGCCTGAGCCAACCCTTTGAGCCAACCCAGGACTAACTCAAGGAATCTTCACCCGTGTAAGCAGCACAGCTGAAGGTTTTGATGGCACAGTAGGAAGGCAGGGAGCAATTGGGAGTGGTAGTCTTCAGACTGCAGGGTAAAATATGTTCAAATTAGTGTCCACAGTCTGATTGTACTACTTTTTTTGTGGGGGTTCCACACCCTCTTGCTCTCATTGTAAATCTTCTGTTACAAATAGAAATTTTATTCTAAAAAGATCAAAATTGGAATTTCTGACTTAATACTTTTCTTGTTTTTTTTGTTGTCACTGCCTTGGCTTGGGAATGAATGTTGATTTGTTTGCTGTATTTGCTCAAACTCTAGCTGAAAAAATACTGGACTGAGAAACAGCTCAAGTGGCAAGAACAGGAGGAGAGAGATCTACAACGTCTGGAGGAATTGAGAAAATTAATGGCTGAACAAGCGGCTAAAGACAGAGAAAGGTAAAAGAAATTAAATGTGAATACCTCTGGTATTAATAGGAGCTTCTTATAATCTAATTTGTTTTGATCCTCCAGCTTTCTAAACTAGAATAAACTGAGATAAGTAACTTTTTTCTTCCTGTTTGGCAATTACCCCAATCTATACACTAAGGTCGCATCATGATTGTATCCTGGATGCAATTTATTTGGTATTTCAAATTAATTAATATCCATCAAAGAGTTTACACCTTTGTAAGCATTAAATTTGGAATCGTGACAGGGTGCACACATTAAACCCAGCTCCCTCAGTGATTTTTTTTAATTGTAGCTGAGTAATGAGACCACCTACTTTCCCACTTTGCAAAATGATTTATAATCAGATTTGGTTTGTTTGAGAGGCAAGTGAAAGGAGCTCATTCAGCACTTAACAGCCTCAAAGATATTAATTATTATCTTAGAGAGTCCTGAACTGCTCATCTAGTTGTAGGTGCTCTTTACCTGTTTAATGGGATTTTGGACCTGAGCCTGCTCACACTCAATTGCCAAGTCTTTGTTGCACAAAGTGGCCTTTAATGGCCTGTTGAAGAAATGCTCGATTGCACAGGGGAATTCCTCTGTCAGAGGAACACAACCCCAGAAAGCAGACTGGTTATAACTGCCCCCAAAGCACAGCCTGTCTCTTTTTACATGGGGGTAACCACCAAATTGTGTGGACCAGAAAAGCAATTAAAATAGGATTCAAGTGCCACTGGCATTTGAATATTAAACTTGGTCTTAAGCATTCTGTGGGAAACACTACTTCATTCTTATTTTGGTAGGACACCTTGCTGACAGCCAAATTTAAATGTTTGTATCCTTATGCTACAAATATATCTCTACCTTTCCTTAAACATACCTGCAGTGATTTTAGCTCATGGGAAAAGGAACACGTGTTTGAATTACAGAATTTTCAGCAGAACTGATCAGGGAAAACTGATTTTTCTTTAAACCTGTGTATTGCACTCTGCCATAGCGCTGGGAATGTTCTTTCTTGTGCTAATAAATGTTGCAGAATGAGATACAAGGAAATGGCAGAGTTCTTTGAGGAATGCAGAGGGGAAATAATCACCCCTTCAGGCTATTATGAATCAGAAGCTGGTAAATACTCAGCATTATGTTACCCAGAACTGACCCACTGTACCAAATAAACCATTGGATTGTGCAGAGCTCAGGCACACGTGTGGCATGGTGGTGTCCTGGTGCAGCACAGAGTTTTAGTCTCAGCTTAGGTGGTCTCAGGATAACAGGACCCTCCCCAGGAGCAGCAATCGCTGCATCCTGATGCCAAACCCTGCTCTGCCCCGCTCTGCCTGCCTGGTGTTTGGCAATCAGTTGGGATCACTTGGACCACTTCAAACTAGGTATGGAAAGGCAACAGAATGTCTCAATTTAGCTCTGCTTTACATTCCTGTGTGCAGGAAAACTGCTGCAGGCCAGACAGAGTGTTTGGGTCAGACCTGGCCAGGTGTCCCCCAGTCCTCCCTCTTGGCCATGCACAGAAGCTTCCAGAGTACTGAATTTTGTGTTTGATAACTCTGGAGTGTTTTAGAAGGTGTATCACAGTAGTCAGCTCAAGCAGAATGAGAGGGTTTCAGTATAACATAACTTTTGTCATTTTTCAGAGAAATATTAGTATCTGCTTTTTATTAAATTTTCTCCATGTAAAAAGCAGATTAGGCTTTTCCCCCTGGGACAGAATGACCCCTGAGGGCTACTGCTGTAGCATTCCTCTGCCTGACCTCCTGCAGTGGCTGCAGTGAGAAGGAAGCCTCTCTGGGGCACCCTCAGGCAGCTTCCTGCCACCCTCTTGGGACAAATTTGTTTGTCCTGCTAATTGTGATTGGATTATTGGCACAGAGGTCTTTGCCAGCCACCAACAGAACTGAAAGTTTAGTTCTGATTTTTGCAAGTTATGGCAGAAGTTATAAGTGTACCATATAAGTATAGTAAGCCCCTTTGAGCTTACTAAAATTTGGAGAGTAAGGAAATAACAATACATGTTTCAGTTAGTTGAAGCAGCTCATTCATCTCAATTTCTCTAGAGACAAGTTCAAATTTGGAGGGCAAAAGAAGGATAACTCTCCAAATGCAAAGCATGGCATTGGCAACTCCTGTATAAGGACTAAAAGTGAGGTACCAACAAATACCTCCAGCTCCATAAGGAACAGAGTCTGGCAGTGGCCTGAGGCTCATCAGGGAATGTGTTTGTGGTGGTGCTGTGGGGCACAGTGTCCCTACTGTGAAAGGGGGAGCAGGACAGTGGTAAAGTTCTGGAGTTACTGCTGTGAACCTCCACCTTCTTCCTTTGGAAGAAGGGTGTCATTCTCAAGTTTTCTTGCTTCTTCCAGTAACAAGATTGGGAGTGAGGTGTTGCTTTTAATGGAAAGGGTTATAGGAAAGATTTCTTCTGCCGTACACAGATGTGAGAGAACATTTCTTCTTGGCAAAGAAAATGGGGGAGAAAAAAAGAGTACCAGGACTATATAAAGCACACTAGAGAAAATCTGCAGTCTAGACATCTGAAAGGTTAGCCAAGTTGTTCAAAAAAACAACCAACCAACTAAAACCCACCCAAAAGCAAATCAAAAAATACAACTGCCTAAACCCCTCTTCCCCCAAAAACCCAAACAAAAAACTCCAAAAAAGGGAATAGGTTCAAATGAAAAATCATTTTGCGCTGAGGTGTTTTGAACATTGGGTGGATACAGAAAACGTCAGGGTGGTTTTCAGTGTAAAGACCAACAGAGAAATCTCAAACTGCCCTTGCCCAGCGTTTCCCTTTGTGTGTTCCACAGGGTGGAATTCCGACGGGTGCTGCTGGAGAAGCGGCTGCTGGAGAGAAAGGAGCAGGTCCTGCTCCAGGCCCGGGCACAGGAGGAGAGAGAGAAGCGCCTGGAGATGCTGCGGCAGCAGGTGGGTGAGCCCGGGCTGCAGTGATCTCACACAGGGTACAAACAGTGGGTCTGCCCCGGGCTGCAGGGATCTCACACAGGGTACAAACAGTGGGTCTGCCCGGGCTGCAGGGATCTCACACACAGGGGTACAAACAGTGGGTCAGCTGGGCTGCAGGGATCTCACACAGGTACAAACAGTGGGTCAGCTGAGCTGCAGGGATCTCACACAGGGTACAAACAGTGGGTCAGGCTGCAGTGATCTCACACAGGGTACAAACAGTGGTCAGCTGGGCTGCAGTGATCTCACAGAGGGTACAAACAGTGGGTGGGTTGGGCTGCAGGGATCTCACACAGGGTACAAACAGTGGGTCAGCTGGGCTGCAGTGATCTCACACAGGGGTACAAACACTGCCAGAGCACTGAGAGAGAAAAGGAACAATTTTCCCAAAGCAAATAAATGAACGAGTTAAAATGCACTCCTGGTCTGACTAACAGTAATTCTGTGGTGTTATAAATCCTGCGTGCTCTGTGGCTCTGACAACAGGAACATTATCACATTAAATTGCACTGTAGAAGCTGTTGGGATCTAAAAGGAGATAGAGAGGGGTTTTTCTAGGTTGGATGTGATTTCTCTCCCTTGATTTTTATTTTTTTTTATTTTAATAATCTTAAGTCTTCCCTGAGTCTTAGGCAAGATTTATAAGCAATTTTGATTGTTTTTAAATTCTGGAAGCTCACACTTCTTGGATGACTTTTCTTCAGAGATATTTAACTCCATGAAATTTTGCACATTATTTCTTAAGGGACATTCCAGAAAATGCATGCTAATGCTTACTAATGTCATAGTAAATGTAGTGCTGGTAAATGTAGTTATTTTTTTCTACTGCTGACTTTTGAAGGAGTAATTTTACTTCCATTTACATTTTTCTATCTAATCTCCTTGGTTTTTTCCTCCGAAGATTAGTAGGAAAAAGCTAGAGTTCACATTCTGTACACTATAGGAGCCAAAGGAAAATAGGGAGGGGGAAAAGGTGCTCTTCAACCCCCTTTTTCTCATTTGTGATAATTTAAACAGCGTTGAAGCAGCAGCTTTTTCCCCAGGACTACCCTTGGTTAAAAATCTGGTGTTTGGTGCAGCCTTGACCTCCCCTTCAGTGGACCATCCCAGTGCATCCTGTGAAACCCTTCCTTAATCCCTCAGGGGGTGTTGGTGGCCTCACAAGTGCTTTCACTTGGTAGTAGGGTGTGCAAAGTCAAGAGGAAAATAAAATATTACAGAGGCCAAATACTCTGAGCCACCTTCTGTGGGAGAGCTGAGCAGAACGAGAATGGACAAACCTCAGGGATCCTTGGTGTCCTTTTGGTAGTTTTTTGAACTGTTGAACTTGAGCACATTTCCACTCAGTATTGCTTTATTTTTAAATATCTGATTCAATTACATATTTTGCAGTGTTATTTTAGGTTATCAAAGCATTTTTAATAATAACTCTCTTGCATCTTTTCCAAGTTCCTGGTTGAGTTTTATTATCATTTGCATCAGGTTTTACATGAGGCTGGTTGGGAGTCATGATCTGTTGAGCTCTGCCCACTGACTCAATTCTCCTGCCAGAGTAGAAAACACTTCTAGAACAGCCTTTGCCCAGAATGGGGAAGTTCCCACTTCATTACACTTTTCTAACCAACATTTGTTCTCTGTTTCACACTAATGAAATGAATTCATAAAGTATGTGCCTTTTTTGTATGTGGGGGAAAAGGTTTTTTAGTAAAGTCATCCAGCCAGCCTGTAGATTTTGGCAGGCTGTAAATACAAAGATGACATTTTATTAAAGAGATGGGCAAAAAAATTATCATACAAAATTTAAGCTGTTTTTTCCTGGTTTTAGCCATTCAGATGGGCTTCTGACTTTAATTATTTTGCTCATGCATCTTTCTGTATTTTTCCAAAGTAGTATGAGCCTGTGTCTGGATGTTTTAACACAAAGTAAGTAAGCAATGAAAGAAGATTGATTCTGGCACAGTACAGTGTCTGAGAGTCTTTGATACTGATCTAGCTCCAGGAAATTACACAGTTAAAGCAGATGCACTTCACAAAAAAACCAGAGTTATGTTATTTGGGGCAAATCACTCAATGTTGTTGCCCATGACTCTGTAAAAATTGGGAACTACCAACCTGAAAGTTTGGACTCCCTGGAATTGTGGGTATTGCAGAACTGTGAGGTTCTGTGTCCTTGTGGTGACTGTCTTTGACACTGGAGCTCTGTCAGGCTCTGCTGCAGAGCCCGGGGTGCTGCTGCTTCTCTCTCACGTCCTTGTTGGGCCCGGGCTGGGGCCCCACGCACTGTTACAGTGCAAAGGCAGGGAATGATCCTGTTCTCAAAGGGTGTGTTACTGATAAAAGCCTGTTCTCACCTTGGCTCCCCACAGAGTGACTGTTGTTTTCATGTCCTGTGTTTCAGGTTGCTGTTGTTGCACAGTCAGACCCAGCCCGAGCAGTGGCTGACACGGTGGCATCGAGGGCCCGGATGGGCATCGGAGCCAACCAGGAGTTTGAGCTGCAGCAGCCCCTGTTCAGGCTGCACACCTACAGTGAGGAGCAGGTAAGTGGCTGTGATCCTGGGTGAGCTCTTGTGGGCAGTGTCTGAACAGTGTGTCCTAAATAGCACCAAGGGCAGTGGAATACAGACTGTGATGTGTGTAAGATAAAAGCATCAGGAGTGACGGGTGGGGCAATGCCTCTGGAAAAAGGCTTACAAATGTTGTCAACTAACCTTCTGACAAATTTCAGAAGTAATTTCCCTGGGATTAATTGTCATTCTGACAAATGGAAGTGGCACTGCCATGTAAGCACAAGGCAACAGTGTGAGAAAAGTCATAAAGGCGTTTGAAGCACTTGGATTCCATAGGAACAAGCAGGAAGGGATTGGATTGTGTGCACAAGGAACATGAGGAAAGGCAGCAGCTCCTCAGGGAGCAGCTGGATTAAAAGTCACTTGGTTTCTCACCTACACTCTCAGTTTTGCTGAGGAAAGGCAACCAGGGCTCGTTGGTTTGTGATCATATTGTGTGATTGTGATTATGAATATTCAAAAGGATAATATTGGGATATGGACAGTGAGATAAGGCTTGCTCACTGTAAAGCTTCTCTGTTTTGAAGGCTTTATTTTATGACCATAATTTTCTGACTGTCTTTTGAAGGCTTATTAAACATATACATCCCCAGATACCCTGTGAGATGCACGGGGTGTATGGGGAAGGTGATGCTTGGTTTCTGTTGGTCATTGCTGTGGTTTATTTTCCCAGGTCATTTCTGACCCCAGACTCCGTGTCGAGCTCGCTCTCCGAGAAGCTGGACTGCACAAAACACTCTATGCAAGAGAGATTTTGCCAAAAATTCCTCCACCAAAGCTTCCAAGAAGAGACATGGAATCTACAGCTTTTGAAGTGTAGAGCATCTCTTGTCTCAGGAGGTGCAAACCTCAGGAGGAGCTTCAGGGCTGCAAACCTTTAATAAATTCCCTTTGGTTGTGTCACAGAACTGCTCAGTTCCCTGTGTGTGCAGCCATTCAAAGCCCTGCTGAGCCTTTCCCCCCGTGCCTGCTGCAGGTTTGGGGAGCTGGGGGTGGGCTGGTGCAGTGCCACTGTCCATGGAACTGGGAGCTGGGACACCTGGACATGAGGACTCCTACACAGCACAGGGTAATCTGATGTGCAGCACCTGGAGCAGGAACTCTTGGGTTTCAATTGGCAGCAGAAGTCCAAAATAGCTTTGCACTGCAGTTACTTTAGATTATATTATGTTACATGAATAAATCCCACAGTTTTCATTCCAAGTTTCTTGAGAATTTGATCTTTTAATTATAAAATCTTCATTACCATGAATGTTTCTAATATTCTTTGATTATTATAAGAAGAAACTTAAACCTTTGTCTATATTTAGAAGCCAATTTGCTGCATCATATTTACTGCAAGCCAGTCATGCAATTTCATATTGCAGATTAGTCTTTCAGTATAAATTATAAATTAGAATTAGAGCTGGGATCTTTATTTTGGAGCTGACATTACTGAATATGATTCTATTAACTGAAAGGGAAATTGATGTTATTTCCTTTTGTAATTGATTATGTTTTCAAGCCTTACATAAAGATAGCATAAAATGATTGTAAACAAGTTACAAATTAGCACTTTGACCAGAAATTTCTAAGGATGATGAATATCAGAAAGGTCTGAACATGCCCACTTGTGTCTCTGGGCAATGATGGGAACTTCTTTAACGTGGTACTGTACTGCCTTACAGGTGTTGGTGTGTCACACCCAAGTTCTGCAGAGACAGGGATGTCCAGTTTTCACCCCTCAGAACTCTGCTGGCAAAGCCCTCCCAGCCTGAGCACCCAGGGCACGGCGTTGGGACCTGCTGGAGACCCCGAGGTGGGTGTGACAGACCCCCATGAGCGAGCACAGGGTCAGGCCAGGAGCAGCATCACCCCCGGGATGGCAGCTGAGTTATTTAGTGGGGAAATGCTGCAGAGCCTGTCCTGAGCCTGTCCTGAACCTGTCGTGGGCCGTGGGAGCTGCACTGTCTGGGCTCGGCTTCTGTGAGTTTGGGCTAAAATTACAACTCTGTGTATTTGTGCTTTTTATTTTGGTATCTCCTTTGGGCTAACTTGTTATTTTTAAAACACACTTGACCAGGCTCACAACTGGCTGGATGTTCCTGTGGGGAGACCAGCAGTGCTTTGCTGTGAGGAACAGACTGGCTGCAGGACAGTTCCCACAAAGGGATCATCCCAAACCTATGGCAGCTGATTATTTTTTTCCTTGCCTTTAAAAGCAGATCTAAAGGATAATTTCAGTGGTGTAAAATCTTTTGAGATTCAAGTCCAGTATTCCTTTTCCTTGAGAGGTTTTAAATTACTTTCACAAAGAGCTTGAGGGTACATTGCTGTTAATATGGGAGTTTCTTAAGTGGACTTTGAACTTGGCAGAACTGAGTTGGAATAGTAGGTTGGATTGCATGGCAAGTGACTGGAGGAATGTGTTTCTATTCTGGGAAGACACTGGCTCCTGTCCTGGGATTTCTTCTCTGTCATATTAATATTAGACCCTAAAAACAGCCATCTTGGAATGGAAACCAGGAACCAGTCTCCTTTTCTTGTATAAAGTGGAATTTGCTTTTTCATGGCATCAGTTTTCATGATATCATAGAATCACCAGAAAATCCCAGAATGGTTTGGGTTGAAAGGGACCTTAAAGCCCATTCAGTTCCACCCACCCTTCCATGAGGCCGGGTTGAACCAAGCCCCATCCAGCCTGGCCTGGAACACTTCCTGTAAGTTATCCTGCAAGTTCCCTGTAAGTATCCTGTAAGTTACTGTTCCAAATTAATTTGTTAGTGAACCTTAAGAACTGAAAGTGATTTTGTGGGAATTCTTCAGGCTATAGGGAACCCTCTGTGAACAACCCCTGCACTCCACCCAGGTGCAGTTCAGTCTCTTCCAGCTTGTGGAGACACTTGCAGATGATTTGCTGGATGTAAAAGATGCAGTTATGTGAAATCAGGTCAGGGTTATGTCAGCACTATGTGCTCCTCATCCCACTACCTCACAGGGGTCTCTGTGCCCAAACCTGCCCACTCTGTGACCCAAGGGTCAAGCTGCTCCTGCTCAGCCAGAGTCGGCCTCTCGTGCTTAAACTCTGGCACCTGCCAGTTTGTCACACCTTTAAATACTGTAGGAATGAAAGTCTGAGCAGCCTCTGTAACAGCAGTAACAATAATGGTTACAAATACCGATTAATTTTGGATGTCATTTACTTAGGCTTTGGCTTTATGCCCAAAGCAAAGGGATCTTCTTCCTGCAGGATCACTGTGGACAGGAGTGACCTTAACAGGACAGTCCTTTAGGATGAGTGGAGCTGGGAGTGAGGAACCTGCAGCTCAGTAACACAACCTTATTTTCTGTGCAAATTTTGGCTAGAGCTGCTGTCCTTGGGTGTGCATGTGTGTCAGAGCCATTCTGGCTGTGTTGGAGGTTGGAGCTGTCCTTGGGTGTGCACGTGTGTCATTCCAGCCGTGTTGGAGATTGGAGCTGTCCTTGGGTGTGCACGCGTGTCATTCCAGCTGTGTTGGAGGTTGGAGCTGTCCTTGGACACGCACGTGTGCCGGAGCCGTTGCAGCCAAGCTGGAGGCCTGCAGCTCCTGCACAGCAGTGTCTGTAGGGTGCAGCCGCTCCCCTCGGCTGTGGAGGGCTCTCTGCCGTGGGAGTGCGGCCTGGCTGAGTCTCTTTGCCGTTTCCCAGAGCAGGGGCCGTGCTGTGGCAGGTCATGCCCGTGCTGTGGTCAGTGCTGGGGTCAGTGCATGGTGTGACCCCGCCGTGCCCGTGCTGGGGTCAGTGCCATGGTCAGTGTGCGGGGCCCGCGGGTCCCAGCCCCAGCCTCTGGCGGATGAAGGCAGCAATCAGGCGCTGGGGCCGCTGCTGGTACTCCCACAGCACCTCGTGGGGTGCCCGGATCTGGTCCCCCTCCAGCCGGTCCAGGAGCGCCACGCAGACGACAGCGGCTGTGGGATGCACAGATGGATGGATGGATGGATGGATGGATGGATGGAGCTCTGTCACCTCGCACCTGACCCCGCATTTCACCCCCGGCATGGAGCAGGGTCCTGCCTCCCCGGGGCTCATGGCGAAGGGGCCAATGTGGCAGGGCCCCGGGGAGCTGCTGCCCACGGCTCTGCTCTGCATTCACCCTCCACTCACCCGGGCTCTGCTCCAGCAAACCCTGGGGGTGGCTGCACCAGCATGGCCAGGATGTGTTTGTAGGGCCAGGAGAAGTGGGGGGGGGATTAAGGTTTGGTTTGTCCAACGTGTTCTCAGGCCTTGGGTTTTATTGAGCTATAAAGTTTGTTTTAGTGTCCTTTTCTAGTTCAAATTGTTAGGAATGTGTGTTTGGCCTTCTGGCACCAAACGGAACCCTTAGAGGGGGGTTGAGTGGGGTGCAGGGAGGAGATAGAGTTGGCAGGACTCACCTTTGAGACCACACAGCCCACACAGGGCAGCAAATGCTGTGGACTCCATTTCGATGTTCCTTACACCGGCATCATAAGCTCTCCTCAAGTACTCCAACTTTTTTTCACTGGAAAAGGAGCACAGTGCACCATCTAATCTCCCCTGACCTGGGAAGGAAGCAGAAAAGTGTCACTGTTGGCCCTGGGCAGGGTCACAGGCCCAGGGCATAGGTGCAAACAGAAAGTCCAACAGTGCCCATGTTCTGTTGGAGGCCCACGAAGTTTTCCTTTGAGTAGCTGTTAACTCCTATTCCCCTGGATGTTAAAGCCAGCACGAGGCATCTCTGTGCAGGGGAGGGAATGATGCAGGTTTCACCACAGCTAAAGGGCCAAGTCAGCCTACAGGTGTGGAGTGCAGGGGATGTTGTGCTCTGTGGGGACAAGCCATCCCCACTCCTGAGGTCCATGGTGCATCTCAGCTGGGAAGGGAAATGCTTACCTGCAGCTGGGCTAACCTGGGACAGCACTTCAGTTTACTGCTCTTCCTACTTTAATCCTCTCAAATGGCTTTTTGTTTAAATAAAACATGGCCTTGAGCAAAACACAGATGGCTGCATCTGCAAGCAGATCTAAGGATTTATAAATAGTGCTCAGATTATTAATTCTTCATTTATTACATTTCATCTACTCTGCAACCAGCATTTAGTTTTCATAGGAAAGGGTTCTAGAGTGACCAAAGTTTGTTTATGTAAATCTGACAGGCAGCCTGACATTTTCCTAGAGTTGGTAGTTCTGAAGTGACAATCTTGCTGTAGGGAACAGTGCAGTGGCAAACTCAGCAAGGTGCCAACAGAGGTACTGTGTGTTCTGAGGGTGCCCCTGCTCTGCCTGGGCCCTCATACATTGTGTGGGTCTGTTCCTGCCACCCTCCTGGGGCTTGGGGACAGTGGATAGTTCTGTCCATGTAAGAATGTAAAGACTTGGTGTTATGTTTGGGGCAGGAAGGACAGACCAAGATGGTTTTACCTTCGTAGAAGTCGTAGGTGCACATGGTATGGCCGATGAGGGTGGGAAAGTCTGCAATGTCCCTGCTGCAGGCGAGCAGCTCCTCTGCCAGGTCCTTGTCCAGCTCGGTGCTCCGCACCACCATGTCCCCCAGCACCACCTGCTCAAAGTGTGGCTGGAACGAGGAGTCCACAGCCGTGTCCGTGATCACCACAGAGCCGGCCTCGATCCCTGGGAACACGGAAACTGAGGCTGAGCCAGAGCTGGTAACACCTGGGACCTGCTGCCAAACTCCATCACAACAAACCCGGCCTTGATCCCTGGGCACATGGAAACTGAGGCTGAGCCACAGCTCGGAACACCTGGGACCTGCTGCCAAACTCCACCACGACAGGAAAATCTCAACACAGCTGCGTGGGACTGTGGGGCTGTTCTTTTTGGTGAGTAAAGCAGATGTCAGAGAATAATTGAAATTCATGCAGTAGCACAGATGTACAAGTAAAATGTACAGAATCAGCACAGGGTGAGTGATTGCGGGAGTATGCTGAGGGACAGGGTTTTAACTGCAGAGATCATGTCCCTCCACCAGCTTGTGCAGGCATGAGCTGCAACACTCCTCTGGCCAGAGATCACAGATTTATTTGGGTTAGAAAAGCCCTCTAAGATCATGAGGTCCAACTGTTCCCCAGCACTGCCAAGGCCACCTCTAACCCATGTCCCCAAGTGCCACATCCACATGGCTTTTAAATCCCTCCAGAGATGGGGACTCCACCACTGCCCTGGGCAGCCATGCTAGGGCTGGACAGCCCTTTGGAGAATGAAATTTTTCCCTAATATCCAACTTAAACCTCCCTGGCACAAATTGAGGCCACCTCCTTTCGACCTGTCCCTTGTTCTCTGGGAGCACAGCCCGACCTCCCCCCTGGCTCCACTCTCCTGCCAGGGAGTTGGAGAGAGTGAGAGGGTCAGCCCCGAGCCTCCTTTTCTCTCCAGCTCCCTCAGCCACTCCTGCTGCTCCAGCCCCTTCTCCAGCTCTGTTCCCTTCTCTGGACACACTCCAGCCCCTCAATGTCTTTCTTGTCTTGAGGGCCCAGAACTGATCCCAGGATTGGAGGTGCCTCAGCAGTGCCAGCACAAGGGAACGGTCACTGCCCTGGGCCTATTGCCACACCAGTGCTGGCACAAGCCAGGATACCATGGATATTTGGAGACCTGACAAAATGCTAAAGCTCAGAACCGCATGACCTATTGCTGGAATTTTTTTTAATAAAGCTGTTTTGCTCTGAAGGAAGACCACGAATCTCTTACCTAAGCCTCCAGAGGTACCGATGCGGATAATAGTGACATCCCGGCATTTCGCGTGGTGCAGCAGTTTGA